GTACTGCCTTTATCTTCTGTGCCGTCCATTTTGACTGTTACTTACATTGGGTAAGAAACACATCTGTCACTGCTTTCCTCCCAACCTTCACACCCAGTTATTTGGGCTCTTAGGTCAATATTAGGGATTGCATGCCTTGTCTGGTATGTATTCATTCCACATGAGTTGTCACCTACTGTTGGTTCGATGGAAATCCCCACTTAAACCACAGTCCTCGTCCACCTCCGCTTTCTGGGTTGGTTGATTCATTCCTTGTCTTTTATGCACTTTTCTCACAAACGTAGAAATGTAGAAATGCATGCCTCTCCTTATTTCCCTCCCCCCCCCCATCTGCAAAGCAGACTGAGGCAATTTAACGGGGTTATGGTGGTCTATAAAACTGGACATCAAGCCTTTGACAGGGCCAACAGGAATATGGTTGCATGTGTATTAGCAGCTGGAGAGCGGGGCCAAAGTAGACGTTATGGCTGCTTGGAGAATTCATTATTTTTAAACCCTGATATGAGTTGCCCTAATCTGAACTTCCCAGACTGCTAGACTAATGTGCAGGTCAGAACACGGCCATTCCTCAGATGTCACACTTCTCCACATTTTGCAATGACATTCTCATCTCAAAATTATGTTTTAAATTGGGATACAGTGGTACCTCGGGTTACATACGCTTCAGGTTACATACGCTTCAGGTTACAGACTCCGCTAACCCAGAAATAGGACCTTGGGTTAAGAACTTTGCTTCAGGATAAGAACAGAAATCGTGCTCCGGCGGCACGGCGGCAGCAGGAGGCCCCATTAGCTAAAGTGGTGCTTCAGGTTAAGAAAAGTTTCAGGTTAAGAACAGACCTCTGGAACGAATTACGGTAAGTACTTAACCCAAGGTACCACTGTATTTTAAGATAAAATAAGTTTTAAAATTACATTTTAAAAAATAAAATAAAATATACAATGTGTGTGTGTGTGTGTTTTGAGATAAAATATGTCTAAAAGTGCATTTAAGATTATGCATTTAAATAGGTACTTTGAATTCAAACTGGCATGTGGATTAAATAAAAAACCAGACTGATGTGGAAGCAGCGTGGAACCCCGGATCCGAGAGCTTTCTCATTGTTCTGTGGCTGAGCCTTGCAAAAATCCAAACTTACTCACCAAATTGAAGCTTGGTTAAGCAAAATTTCTCTTCAGATTTGCCATGCATCTGATAAGATCTGATTCAACAAATAAGATTGGGTTTTTGCAAGGCACAACCACGGAACAATAGTCCAAGTAAGCCCTGCCTTGCATAATCTATCACATGATGCGGTGCATGCACACCATTTGAATGGCAATGCCCATCAACTTTGGGGACCCCCAGCCCCCTCAAATATTTGTTCGGGGGGCTGAAGATCCCTCAGCTCCTAGGAGTTGGCTCCTATGGACCACACTGGTTGCTGGAGACTCTCTCATGGGCAGTGCAACAAATCACAGGGGAGTTCATGGACATGGCTTGGGGAACAGACCAGAGGGGAGACTTCATCTCGCAGTCTTCCTTCTGGGCCCCTCTTGGGAAATATAAACTAGCCACACCCGTGCCTTGGCCTCAGTTATCTTTTGGAGAAAGTTGTGGCCTGTTTAATCCCATATGGCTGTCACATGTTTTATTGCCACCTGTGTTGTATTCAGACCCCTTCTGCCCTTGGCTCCACTGCGCCTGGGCCCGCAAAAGCTATCAGACCTGGGGAAATTAATTGGCACGCAATATAATCAAAATATGGGTCAAGCAAAAGTGTTGGGTGAGCCCTGACAGTGCGATCCTATGCATGTCTATTCAGAACTATAGGATTTACTGTTATGGGACTACAGCTTAAAAAAAAACAAAACAAGGATTTTGACAGAGCTTCCTTCTGTCATATCACATTGTTCCTACATGTTTTTCCTTTAAAAAGAAGCTGAAATCCATAAAATATTATGTCCAACAGATCTACAATGTTTATAGGCTAGTTAAAAATGCAGCTGGGGGAAAGGACAAACACCTCACTAAAAGCAGGATAAAAACAAAAGCCATCAATTTCTAGCATTTTATGTTGTCCCATGACCTTGATTTTATAATTGTAAAAAATGTGCAATTAGTGTAATCAAATCTGTGGGAAGAAAAGCAGCCACTGAGTCTCAAAAGGCAGGTTCTAAGAAACTGCAGCCAACTTTTACTCAAGCCGACTGGAGACACTACATTACAAACAGGCTGGATTGTGCCAAAGCCCCCTTTCCGTGACAAATGAGGTTTCAGCTTAGGCTCCTGTATATTGTATTTTTGTTTTTTCACTCTCTGTCTCTCTCTTTCCTTCTCTTGTTCTGTCACTGCAAATGAAATCATGAACAATGTATTTCCTTTTATTGGGCTGGGCACACAACCCTAATGTCTTGGTTAGGACAAATTGCATTAATCCTTTTGGTTTCATGTGCTTTTCGTCACAAAACGAGACAGCGTGATCCATTTTAAGCCAGAAAGAGGAGAATTCACAAATGTGGACAGTGTATCTGGGATATGTATCATACAGCCTTAAAATGCAATCCAGCAAGGGAGATGTATACATATAGAGTAGCAGACTTCAGCTTGTGAATTCTTTTCCATTCCTGGGTCAGGGACCAAATGTAAATTAGATTGTTCTTATTTATTCATTTAAGTTATGTACATCCCACATTGCTGTTCACACAACCTGAGGTCTTCTGCATGCAAGGCAGATGCTTTGCCACTGAGCTGTGGCCCAGTGTGGTCCTAATGCAGCAGCTGTGGTAGGATCCAGACCATAATCTCTAAATTAGCATAGCCATTGAGGATGGATCTAGATGTCTTTTATAGGTGGTCTAAAATTTTGATTGCAGAGAAGTGTAGTTTTCTCAGTTGTTATTGCTGCATGAATGTGTGTAAATGTGATTCCCACAACGGATTAGCATTTCCATTGCAACTAGTTCTCACAGGGCTGTGTGATCTCATGACATTCTTCCTATTAAGACATTCTAAATGCCACCTTTAGCCCAGACATGCATTTGTGGGCTCACAGTAATTTTTCACCATGCTTTTGTATGGTGGTGGCAGTGCTGTTATGACATACTGTAGATCGGGTTGGTACAGAGTACTGGATCCTGACCCACAGCAGAAGACCAGTGGTGCAGACAGGCCTGAGCTAGATGTGGTACAACAAGGCACTTCCTATGTTCTCCATATCTAGCAAGGATCCAGAAGAAGTAGACGACTTCACATGCATTATCTTTACTCCTAACTGTTAAGAGGCCTAGTTGCAGATTTAAAGAATGTAAGAACAAGGACCTTCATTTGACGGGCAACTGCAATTTTAAGTTACTATAAATGTTACCAGTCCAAAAGTCTGTCAAGATAAATTACTGTTTAGATGGAAGAATGTCTTTAGTAATCAGGAATAAATAACCAGCATAATCAAAACTGATATGTTAGCCAAATCTATAAAATGTAGAAACCTTACTACAGTTACCTCCCTAGATCAGAGATTCATGATTTTGGTGTTGGATAAAATTGTGGTCCCTTTGCCCTAGTAATTTAAACAGCAATATTTATTTTGGCTTTCCGCTCTTCAGTGACTTGGCCTAAGTGAAATGCTTTGATGATATGTACAAAAGGAATATAAAAGATAGGGTAAGATCTTGCTTTAGTACAACTGTGAACATGAAATTTAATACAGGCCTTTGCCACAGGGACTCTTTAAAATGCACTGCGTATAAAATATTTGATACTGTTTTCAAGAAGGGCATTCTTTTCTTTTGACAGTATATTCAAATATGGGCCAAATGAAACAGCACTCCAAAAGAGGAGGCATAAATTATACTCTGCAAAAAATCAGACGAAGAGTACACTAGTGTCACAATCAATTGTTTGAAAAACAATTGCAATTTGAACTCTTTTTTTTAAAAGGGTTTGGTTCTATGTCTTCATTTACTTACTGAAGATAACTTGAGAAATATGCTGCTTAGAAGAGTGCAGCCCCTAAATGTTCACATTATGCCTGGGTATTCACCATATGTTGACTATCCTTACATGGGTATCACGGAGTTCAAAATGTTTCTAAGACAAATTCCTCAGTACATTTAGGCTACTTTCAGATAGCACCCCACAAGGAGAAAATGTACCACCTTTTACAGAGGAGAGGGACTGGTGCAATCCTTGCCATTACTGTACAACTCATGCTGGTATTGTCAATCCATTTGGATCAGCTGTGATCATAGGAACAAGCTGCCTCATACCCAGTCAAACCATTGGTCCACCTAGTTCCATATTCTCTACACTGACTGGCAGCACCAGTTTCATAGAATCATAGAATCATAGAGTTGGAAGAGACCACAAGGGCCATCGAGTCCAACCCCCTGCCAAGCAGGAAACACCATCAGAGCACTCCTGACATATGGTTGTCAAGTCTCTGCTTAAAGACCTCCAAAGAAGGAGACTCCACCACACTCCTTGGCAGCAAATTCCGCTGTCGAACAGCTCTTACTGTCAGGAAGTTCTTCCTAATGTTTAGGTGGAATCTTCTTTCTTGTAGTTTGGATCCATTGCTCCGTGTCCGCTTCTCTGGAGCAGCAGAAAACAACCTTTCTCCCTCCTCTATGTGACATCCTTTTATGTATTTGAACATGGCTATCATATCACCCCTTAACCTCCACTTCTCCAGGCTAAACATGCCCAGCTCCCTTAGCCGTTCCTCATAAGGCATTGTTTCCAGGCCTTTGACCATTTTGGTTGCCCTCCTCTGGACACGTTCCAGTTTGTCAGTGTCCTTCTTGAACTGTGGTGCCCAGAACTGGACACAGTACTCCAGGTGAGGTCTGACCAGAGCAGAATACAGTGGCACTATTACTTCCCTTGATCTAGATGCTATACTCCTATTGATGCAGCCTAGAATTGCATTGGCTTTTTAGCTGCCGCGTCACACTGTTGGCTCATGTCAAGTTTGTGGTCAACCAAGACTCCTAGATCCTTTTCACATGTACTGCTTTCAAGCCAGGTGTCACCCATCTTGTATTTGTGCCTCTCATTTTTTTGCCCAAGTGCAATACTTTACATTTCTCCCTGTTAAAATTCATCTTGTTTGTTTTGGCCCAGTTCTCTAATCTGTCAAGGTCATTTTGAAGTGTGATCCTGTCCTCTGGGGTGTTAGCCACCCCTCCCAGTTTGGTGTCATCTGCAAATTTGATCAGGATGCCCTTGAGTCCATCATCCAAGTCGTTGATAAAGATGTTGAATAAGACCGGGCCCAGACAGAACCCTGTGGCACCCCACTAATCACTCTTCTCAAGGATGAAGAGGAACCATTGATGAGCACCCTTTGGGTTCGGTCAGTCAGCCAGTTACAAATCCACTGAGTGGTAGCATAGTCAAGACCGCATTTTACCAGCTTCTTTACAAGAATATCATGGGGCACCTTGTCAAATGCCTTGCTGAAATCAAGGTAGGCTACATCCACTGCGTTCCCTTCATCTACCAGGCTTGTAATTCTGTCAAAAACGAGATCAGGTTAGTCTGACATGACTTATTTTTCAGAAATCCATGCTGACTATTGGTGATCACAGCATTCCTTTCTAGGTGCTCACAGACTGTTTGCTTAATGATCTGCTCCAGAATCTTCCCTGGTATTGATGTCAGACTGACTGGGCGGTAATTATTTGGGTCCTCTCTTTTCCCCTTTTTGAAAATAGGGACAACATTTGCCCTCCTCCAGTCTGCCGGGACTTCGCCTGTTCTCCAGGAATTCTCAAAGATGACTGCCGGTGGTTCTGAGATCACATCTGCCAGTTCTTTTAATACTCTTGGATGCAGTTCATCTGGCCCTGGAGACTTGAATACATCTAGACTAGCCAAGTATTCTTGTACTATCTCCTTAGTTATTCTGGGCTGTGTTTCCTCTGCTGAATCATTTGCTCCAAATTCTTCAGGTCGGGCATTGTTTTCTTTATCGGAGAAGACTGAGGCAAAGAAGGCATTGAGGAATTCAGTCCTTTCTGTGTCCCCTGTTTGCATTTCACCATCTTCTCCTCTGAGTGACCCGACTGTTTCTTTGTTCTTCCTTTTGCTACGAACATACCCATAAAAGCCTTTTTTGTTGCTTTTAACCTCTCTAGCAAGCCTGAGTTCATTCTGTGCTTTAGCTTTTCTGACTTTGTGTCTACACATGCTGGCTATTTGTTTGAATTCCTCTTTGGTGGTTTCGCCCTTTTCCATTTTTGTACACATCCTTTTTAATCTTAACTCAGTTAAAAGTTCTTTAGATAGCCACCCTGGCTTCTTTAGGCACCTTCCATGTTTCCGTCTCATTGGTATTGCCTGAAGTTGTGCTTTTACTATCTCCTCTTAACAAACTCCCAGCCATCATGAACTCCCTTTCCTTTTAGTATTACTGTCCATGGGATCTCACCCAGCACTTCCCTAAGTTTTATGAAGTCGGCTTTCTTAAAGTCAAGAAATTGAGTCCTAGTATGCTTGGCTGCTCCTTTCCGCTGTATAGTAAACTTCAGAAGAGCATGATCACTCGCGCCTAATGATCCTTCCACTTCTACCCCACTAACCAGGTCATCAACATTGGTTAGGACCAGATCTAAAATGGCTGTTGCTCTTGTTGCTTCTCCCACTTTCTGGACAATGAAGTTGTCTGCAAGGCCAGTGAGGAATCTGTTTGACCTTAAGCTCTTGGCTGAGTTTGACAACCAACAAATATCCGGGTAATTGAAGTCCCCCATTACTACTATCTCCCTTCCTTTTGCATGCTTGGCCATCTGTTCCAGGAAGGCATCATCTATGTCCTCCGTTTGGCTTGGGGATCTATAGTAAACTCCCACAATGAGGTCACTGTTATTCTTCTCTCCCTTAATTTTGACCCAAATGCTCTCACTTTGGCTTTGAGGTTCTAAATCTTGGATCTCTTCACAGGTATACACATCCCAGATGGCGGACATTCCCAGAACTACCTGGAAATGCATGTGAAGCAGGTGTTCTAGCACCAAGCTATGCTCTTTCCATATAGCATAGAGAGCAGGACACACACACACCATTTGGATTGCATGTAGCAAACAACCAGCAGAAAGCAGCGACACAATTGGTGGTGATTATCCAGAAAAATGGTCATCTTGAGCTTGAAGCAACCTTAATAATTCTGCAAGCAACAACAGTGGCAGCTCCAGTGGGCTTCAGGGAAACAAATAAGATGAGTTAATCTGTGGTCATCAGACCAGGCTATGAAGACCTGGATTAATGTACTGGTTGTGAATGTGAACTAGGAAGTCTCTGGTTCAGAACTTTGCAGAGAAGATGATGATTACCAAATTAGACCAAATGTTATTCTGGTCCAGCATCTGTATTCACAATTCACAAACTATATACTTCTGAAATTTGGCCATCCCTAGTCTGGAATATTTCCACCAATCTAGAAAATAATTTTGATTAGACTAAATAACTCTTGTATAGAAACCGTGGAGTTGTATGCTAATAAATATTATGTCATAAGTAAGGTTATTCTGTTGTTTAGTCGTTTAGTCATGTCCGACTCTTCGTGACCCCATGGACCAAAGCACGCCAGGCACTCCTGTCTTCCACTGCCTCCCGCAGTTTGATCAAACTCATGCTGGTAGCTTCGAGAACACTGTCCAACCATCTTGTCCTCTGTCGTCCCCTTCTCCTTGTGCCCTCCATCTTTCCCAACATCAGGGTCTTTTCCAGGCAGTATGCTCTACTCATGAGGTGGCCAAAGTATTAGAGCCTCAGCTACAGGATCTGTCCTTCCAGTGAGCACTCAGGGCTGATTTCCTTAAGAATGGATAGGTTTGATCTTCTTGCAGTCCATGGGACTCTCAAGAGTCTCCTCCAGCACCATAATTCAAAAGCATCAATTCTTCGGCGATCAGCCTTCTTTATGGTCCAGCTCTCACTTCCATACATCACTACTGGGAAAACCATAGCTTTAACTAATAAAGAAGAAATTGTCTCCTGTGTTTCATCTTCCTTTTGTAAATATCATCAAAGCATTTTGCTGAGGCCGCGTCACTGAAGAGCGGAATGCCAAAATAAATATTGCAGTCCAAATTACTATAGCAAAGAGAACAAAACGTTACCTAATACCAAGATCACTAAGCTCTCATCCAGGGAGGTTCCTGTAATAACTGTTCATAGTGAGTGCCATTTAAACTGGTGAAGGATTAACACCTATTGGTCACTGCTGTGTTTGTTTGAATGGACCAGGGAAGTATATGCAATAATATAACCTAAAATATAAATGATATAAACTGAAAGTAGAATTTCCTATAGCAGCTTAAAGAGCATACATGACACTGTTGAAGAGAGACAAAATGTAAAACATTTCCAGTGTTTCTTTCCTTCTTTTGTTTAATTTCTCTTTAATCTAAGAGCAATATAGGAGATCTTGGTTTTGGGGATACAGACCACTATCAAAGAAAGAAAACAAAATCTGCAAGAGGTTAGTAACCTCACTATATTTAAAAAAAAGAAAAGACAAAAAGGGCTGAAGGTTGTAAAATCTCATCTCTTAACTTCAGAGAATTAAGAACAGCCCACAAAGGAGGAGGGGGACATGAAACATTGATTTAAAGCCAATTCACACGGCTGTCCTTGGCTGCTTGCTATTATTATTATTTCTGTTAAGAACTAATAGATCCTATTCCTGACAAGCATAAAGTCAGAAGGTGGGATCATATCCAAAATGTCATTTTTCAAACCATGAGAGTCAATTACTGTATCGTAGCATTATTTGTCTCGGTAAAACATATTCACTGTCTCACCCTTTCCAAACCACTCCTATTGTCAAGGAATGCAGCTTTATCACTGTACCCTTACAATCACCAGATGGGAACATTATACTTTGGCGTTACAAAATTTACATTTTCTGTAATGGCGTCTAAGGGTACTGGACACATACAAGCAAAGTAAACAACTGATACTACGGTAGTAAGTAATGTAGCAAAGTATTTCCTAAAAACCTGGGAAAGTACTTTTATTTAAGCATGTCCAGACTTACCACTATTGACAGTATCATCTAACTGATCAGCTTAACCAGGAGTCATCAACCATTTGGGGGCAGTGGGCAGGGTGTCACAGCAACAGTAAAAAAAAAAATATGGCTGCCATGGGGAGGGGGGCATTGGCATAACACAAAATGGCTGCTGTATCTGAGAGAGAAGAAAAAGAGTCAGGGCCACAAAAAGCTTCCCATCAATTTCCCCACTCCCATCAATAGGAAAGAAAACAGCTACATCAGTCACCATGACAACTTGCTCACAATGAAGAGCCCCTAGCACTTTTCCTCTGTTCAGAAGGGAAGGGAGGCTGAGTGTCTAATCCTGGCATATGATAAAATGTGGGCATGTCTGAAGGGGCATGTTTAGTTTAGGAGATGCCAAGCCCGTTGTGCACAGGAACTGAGCAAGAAGAGTTAACAGTTTCCTGTGCATTGTAGATTGTAGGGATTTTTATGTTTTTTATTAATTGCTATGGGATGTTTCATGAGACAGAAATGAAATGAAATAACAAACAAACAAACAAACAAACAAACAAACAAACAGCTCATGAATATGTACAGAGGTTTTTTAAGACACAGGAATGATTCATTAAGAAATTTTATTATATCCCGCGCTTCCATAGTCAGGGTGGCTTACAACTAGGGATAACCAAAACTGTCAGTTTTGGCTTCTTTCTGTCTTTCATTTTTACATCCCTATATTCAGTTCACTGCATCTCCACATCAGCTGGCAATAATAATATAAAAAGTCCCCATAAAATTTCCTCAGCATTTAAATGTGAATTTCTACAGTTTTGTATGCAATTTTGAATGGCAAAATTCGGAGAAGTGCAAATCTCAAAGAATGTCTGCGTTCTGCTGCCCTGAAAACAAATGCTTCAGACTGCAGTGAATGGGTGTCCAAAACTCTTTCACCACACTTTAGAATGACCCAGTTCCAACAAAACACTAAGCCAAACCAGAGCTTTAGCGTGCAAAGGTCGTGGCTGCCTTGCTCCTCTTTGGGTCATACTGGTGCCTTTGCACTGCTTTCAGATCAACTATAATTAGGCTTCATGTTACATTCAAACCCATGCTTGTGTTTTATCACATGCTAGACAAACCACAAGCTGCACCCAAGCTCTGTTCTGTGGCTTACTACTTGTGGTTTATAGTGCTTAATTTGAATCAACTTACATTAACTTGTAGCATAGCTGTCAAGTGTCCCTTATTTGAAGGGACAGTCCCTTATTCCAGTGCCATGTCCCGCTGCTGTCCCTTATTGATGGATGTCCCTTAAATGTCCCTTAAATGATGTCCCTTAAATTTCAAAGGAAGTAGCTCCTCTCCCTCCCTCCCTGCTGGCCAGGGAGGAGGGAGGCTCCAACTGTGTTGCTTGGCTGTGTTGCTCACCCAATAAGAAGTCTAAAAACGACTGGGGGGTGGAGCTTGCATTCCTTGTGTGCGGCTAGTTAATGCAAGCTGAGGGTTTTTTTGAATGCTGGACGCCATTTTGTTGCACGTGCTGCTGCAAACTTTGCAGTGCAAAGCCAGGCCAGTGAACCATCTTAAGTTGAGGCTGCATAGGCCTTGTGGTGCATGTGATTCAGATTCTATTCAGTTGAACCTCTGGTTACAAAGTTGGTTGGACAGTGTTCTCAAAGCTACCAGCATGAGTTTGACCAGACTGCAGGAGGACAGGAAGACTGGAGTGCCTGGAACAGGTGAGGCTGCAGGTCCCTTATTTTGGCTGCTGGTCCCTTATTTTCAAATCTGTAAGTTGACAGCTATGACTTGTAGGGCAGAAACTTTGTCTTTGAATAACCTTCCCGGATGGTAGTTTCACAAATCCTGCCTATTATAGTTTCTATGACTGGTATGGCGTTTTCCAGGATTTCCCCAATCCTGAAGGCTTTCCCCATAAACTAATGCAACTGATGTTGCATGACTAGAACCTCTTTTTGGATTCCTAAGGCACTTCAAGATTGCCGCTATTTGGGGACTAGATTCAGCCACATACCAGCAAATTCAGGCTCCATCTGCACTATACGCTGAAAGCAGTATCATACTACTGTAAACAGTAATGGCTTCCCCCAAAAAGCCCTGGAAAATGTACTTTGTTAAGGGTGCTGAGCATTGTTAAGAGATCCCCAAAGCTACAATTTCTAGAGTGGTTTAACTCTCAGCACCCTTAGCAAAGTTCACTTCCCAAGATTATTTGGTGCAATGCTCATTAAATGGACATTGCCATCTAATTTCCCTACAAGCAGTGCTTTTTTTCAGGGCGGGGGGTACATAGGGGTACACATACCCCTAAACATTTTGTGAATCTAATGGGAGAAGAAGCTAAAAAAATTTTTTAAAAAACAATTAGTTTCTTCTCTAGCACGGTGAATCATCAGTTCCGTTGCTACCCCCGATGGCAGCCTCATTTCCTGTCATGGTGTTTCCTGAGTCTCCGACGGAAGCAAGCGTTTAATGTGTGAAGCAGTGTGGAATGTGGATGTGTGATAATATGAAGAATATGAGGTAATGCATGTTCTTTGTACTTTTGTCCATTTACTGTATTTATTTTCCCCTATTTGAACTATAAAATGGTGATTTTCTTGTGTCAAAATGAGAGTACCCCTAAACATTTTTTAAGAAAAAAAAGCACTGCCTACAAGCAAATATAAATGCACAATAAACAGGTCATCTAGAAGCCCTCTGTGTTACCCAATTTCCCATGAATTAACTTTTTTAAAAAATAAACTGTATTATCAATTGTTTCTGGATTTGAGCCTTCTGTACCTACCTGTATATTTTAATGCTCTGTTTTATTATGAGCTACAGCTAAATGGACAATTAGTTTTTATAGGAAAAACCAAAGTGACTGCTTAGAAGGCAAAGAGAAAATTATTATATGCTCATTCGGAATTTTAGAAGATACAAAGTTAATAAGATGGTGGGGCCTGTTGTTTGGCCTTGTAGTAGCAGGATTTGGTGAATGTCTGCATCCTATGAGGCCACCCTACAATTACACTAGAAATTTCCTGCTCTGCATGCTAAGAAGCTGTGATTCTGCTGCAACAGAAGCTTTGGAGATATTGTTTATCTAGGTGGATTAGTGATGGCTCCAAGTTCCTAGAAAACCTTAAGTGTCTGCAAATACCATAGGAACAACATAAAAAAAATTATCCAAACTACTTCCTTGTCCCAATTTAGCTAAGGAAATCTGTATATAAAACTAGGCTTATTTATCTGATCAGCTGGTGAGGATGTATCTACATTGTGGTGTTTGTCTGGACTTCATTGAACTATCTTATGTTTTCTGATGGAGTGTCCCAGAAACGTACATGGCTGGCTGGAATCCCAAACAGAAGCACTCCCAAACTGCAACACTCTGTTGTGGGTCCTCTTGCATACTTTATTCATCAGCCTTGGCACTGAAAGCAAGCCCTGTTGCAGTCCACTTAAACTAAGCTCTGGTATGTGTTTATTCACAGGAATCTATAGGCATATGCATGGGACCTGGGGAGACAAAGTTCCCACACACTGCCATTAAAATAATAATAATAATTAGTTACATGTAGATTCAGGAAATATCTTGCTCATAAACTATTCCATGAAGAAAAAATTCCGGTGACTCAAAAGTCCACCCAGTTTTGCCAAAGTGTGGATTTGTTCTTCTGTATGATAAGCTTTTCTGTTTGTTTCCGGTCGTAGTCCAAACATCAGAACAAAAGGCTTTCCTAATGCAGTCAGAGTGCATAAGCAACACAATGGGTCATTTCTGGTTCACTTTCTTTCTTGCATTTCACCACATGCCTCCGAAAGCAGAGCTTTGCACCATTTGCTTACATTGCCAGAAAGCAAAGAAATCTTGAAAAGGTGTCAGGGTGTAACAGTCTCGTTCAGCTAAGTTATGGTTGTGTTATTTATTACGTTTCAGATATGAGTTTTATTCTTTCTGTGACCTTCGGTGATGTATTTGATAATAATAACTTTGCAATGGGCTAATGATTAACTCAGGGAGAAAACCTGTTCAAACACAGACCACTGGGACATTAATTTTATAAAAGGTTTTTGAAACCAACTTGTCACTAGGAATCAGATTGTAATAGTTATGTTCACAACCGCCTGCCCCCTATGAATCTCATTTCTCAAGGGATAGAACTGTTAGTCGCTGTTACATAGACACCTCTAGAGCATGTGGAGTCCATGGTGTCATGTTCTTATTAAGGTGCTTCCACTCAACCAAAATGGAAACACAGCAATCAGTAAGTGAGGGTTTCTCTTTCTTGGACTTCAACTCCCATCTGTCCTACCCAGCATGGGCAATGGCCAGGGATGATGAGAGTTGTAGTCCAACAACAGATGCCCCACCCCTACAGTAAATTCTGAGTGTACATCAGGGCCCCGAATAACTTTTGATTTGCTTGTTTTGTTACTTACAT